TCATTTGCATAGTTAGAATCAACATAACCAATCAATTCAATACCACTAGCACATTTAGAGAAAACTAATCCATGCTTCACAGTAGATATCATATATCTAAGCAACCACTTAAGAGCATTCCAATGAGGCAAACCAGGGTTGGACATATATCTACTCAAGCAACTAATCGCATATGCAATATCAGGTCTAGTGCTAACCATAAGATACATAACCGACCCTATTGCGCTGGAATAGGGCACAAATTTCATTTTCTCAATTTCAGGAGCAGTCTTGGGAGACTGGTCCTTACTTAACACAAAGTGAGATGTCATTGGGACATTAACAGGAGAAGCAGATAACATATTGAATTTACTCAAAACTTTTTCTATGTAAGAAATCTGATTCAAAGTAAGAGTACGCTTACTCCTATCCCTAACAATGTTTATGCCTAGGATCCTCTTGGCATCACCTAGGTCTTTCATGGCAAAATTCGCACAGAGACATTTTTGCACATCTTTAATAGCATTCAGAGAAGGACTAATTATCAGCATGTCATCCACATAGAGTAACAAAAATACAGGCACAGAAGAAGTATTCTTGAAATACAGGCAATGATCACAAACAGATTTTTGGAACTTCAAAGATATCATGCATTTATCAAATTTGATGTTCCACTGCCTAGGGGATTGCTTCAGGCCATACAATGCCTTCCTAAGCAAACAGACATGCTCACTTCTCTTGGGATCCACAAAGCCCTCAGGCTGGGTCATATAAATTGTTTTGTCCAATTCACCATGCAAAAATGCAGTAGTTGCATCCATTTGTTTCATTTCCCAGTCATGGTGAGCAACTAAAGCAAGCATCATACGAATAGTGGTGAATTTAACAACAGGAGCAAAGATTTCTGCATAATCTACCCCCTCTTTTTGAGTAAACCCCTTCACAACCAACCTAGCCTTAAACCTAACATCACTAGGTTCTTCCTTAACCTTAAACAACCACTTACACTCAACTACCGAACAGTTGGGGGGTCTAGGTACAAGGGTCCAAGTCTGGTTCACCCTCAAAGAGTCCATCTCACTTTTCATGGCACTAATCCATTTCTGAGACTCTTTGGAACCTAAGGCTTCACGGTAGGTCTTGGGTTCATTCAGCTCTAGGGATTCAAACACAGAAAATGCAAACATAGAAGTATCATGCACAATGAAAGCATAATCAGGCATACTATCAGCAGTTCTCTTAATAGCCCTTCTACTCCTATCTCTAGTAAGTTGATAATCATGCAAATTATCACTACTAGGCTCCACATGCAACTCATGCAAATTATTGTTGTCATGAAAATCAGATTCAACACCCATATCATGCAAATCATGCTCAGTATCATGCAAATGCTCCACCTCACTCGAGGTGGTGGGACTATCATGCTCAGAGGAATCAGAATCATGCATAACAATATCATCAGTAATAACAGGATCAACAGATAAAGGACTAGCAGCAACAGGGACAAACTCCACCTCACTAGGAGTACTATCAGACCTAGACCCAGGATTAGAAACAGACTCGGTCAAGCAAGGAAAATCAGTTTCATTAAACACCACATTTCTGCTAATGACCACTTTAAAGCCTACCTGGTTCCTATCCCATAACCTGTAACCCTTTACCCCCTCTGGATAACCTAGGAAGACACATTTCTTAGACCTAGGATCCAACTTATCACCCTGTTGATGTGCATACGCTGCACAACCAAACACCCGAAAGTTAGACAGATCAAGAGGCTTACCGGTAAAGATGGCTTCAGGACACTTACCACCAAGAGGAACAGACGGGAACCTATTAACCAAATAGGCAGCAGTAGTAACTACTTCACCCCAGAATTTCTTAGAAAAACCAGAGGTAGCTAACATGCTTCTAACCTTATCCAACAGAGACCTATTCATTCTCTCTGCTATCCCATTCTGTTGGGAGTATAAGGCACATATTTGTGCCTTTTTATCCCACAATCCACACACAGCTTATCCATCTCCTTATTACAGAACTCTAACTCGTTATCGGTCCTAAGGGTTTTAACCTTCCTGCCAGTTTGGTTTTCAACTAGGGTTTTCCACTCCCTAAACCTCACAAACACATCAGATTTGTGTTCTAAAAGCCAAACCCACACCTTCCTAGAAAAGTCATCAATAATAGAAAGGAAATATTTCCTACCCCCGTGGGTAGGAACACTGGCAGGACCCCAAACATCGACGTGAACATATTCAAGCACAGACGAACACTTAGACAGATTAGGGTAAGAGGATGGAGGGAAGCTGACTCTATGTTGCTTGCCTAACACACAAGATTCACAGAAAGGCACAGAAGTCACAGAGTCCTTACCAAAATAACAAGCCCTACACATGACATCTAAACCCTTATTGCTCATATGTTTTAGCCTATTATGCCACAAAGAGGTCTTATCAGAACATACAACATTCACAGACTCAGCAAAAGGTTTAACATGACACACATAAAGGTTATTCACCTTCTCAGCTTTAAACAACACAAGAGAATTTTTCAAGATTTTCATGCAACCATTCCCCCACTTTCCCTGTAAACCATTACTCTCCAAAGCAGCAACAGATAACAAGTTATGACACAAATCAGGGACATGCCTCACATTCTTAATGGTAAACACAGAGCCACTAGAAAACTTCAGACATATATCACCAACACCAAGCACATGGCATCTCTTATTATCAGCTAAGGAAACATAGCCACTATCACATAATTCATATGAAGAAAACAAATCTTTAAAGGGGGACATGTGATACGTACAACCAGAGTCAATCAACCATTCATGCTCAGACAGAGAATTTCTCACAGAATTAACATGATCACAAACCATCAAAATGTCACCAAGGTCACATCTATCAACAACTACACTAGCATGCTCGGTCTTCTTAGGGTTAGGGCAATCCTTAATGAAATGGTCAGCGATACCACAATTGTACACACTCTCTTCCTAGATTTGCACCTCTTTCTCCCAGGCTGACTAGTGTTCTTACTTTGACTATTTTGCTTAGAGTTCTTAGACCTACCCTTAGATCTACCTCTAACAAACATAGCCTCACCGGAGTCCCTGGACTGACTAGCACTACCCCTAGCATGCTTCAGGTCTAATTCCTTACTCCTTAAACCATTAACAACAATATCTAATGAAATATCATCCCTACCATATTTAATAGCGGACTTAACGTCATTATAAGAGTCGGGAATGGCATTAAGTAACACTATAGGAGTATAATCATCTATGTGTTTATCACCTGCCTGTTTGATATTCTGTATCAGTTTATTAAACACATCCATGTTCTCATCTATATCCTTAGTTAGGTCAAGCCTAAACCTAAAGAATTTCTCAAGTAAAAACAACTTCCCCGGCAAAGAGGTATCAGTATAGAGACTATCCAATTTCTCCCACAAAGCCTTAGCGGATTCAATAATACCCACTTTCCTAAGAACAGAATCAGACATATTCAAGTAAATGGTAGAGCAAGCAATTTCATTCATTTCAGTTTGCTTAGCCTTATCTTCTGATTAAAGGAAAATACCAGTGACAGCTCTGAAAACCTTTTATTGTATTAAAACACACTTAATTTTCTGTTTCCAAATATCAAAATCTGTTTTTCCATTAAATGGAAGCATGCCATACTGATTAGCAGGCATGGTATCAACCACAAAACAACACAAAGCTAAACTGACAAATTTGACAGAAAATAAATCAACCCGGGCTATAAAGTATTTGTTAGTATATATGTCCTAGCGACAATCATTTTTTAGAGATATATGTACTTGATCACATTCAGTTTTATATATTTGATATAAACGGTATTACACATTGATGATTAAGTATTTCGATTGCCAATATCTTATTCATAATTGTGTTCCCTTGGATTTATGTTGTCACTAAGTAAGTGAGAGCTTATATGATATAACATAAAGTCCTAAAATAGCCTCAATCAGTGATCATCAAGAAAGGGATATTGATGATATGCGATAAGATTGGTATGTGGACTGCATCATACTTTTAGAAAGTATAGTTGATCTCACAACTATGAATTCCTGTAATTCATGATGGTCACATAGATATTTTAGAGAATATTGGCATACCCACCGAGAAACCATTTGATAAGTTCTATTCATGTGTCTATGGGATTATCGGCGTATAGAGTAGTGTAATAGTCCTCCGACTTGAGGTCAATACGTACTACATGTGCGGAGTGATGTACTTTGACCATGACCAACGCTTGCACTCCAATCGGGGTAGATACAGCATGTGTTGGGTGCATCACGAAGCACATGGAGTAGTAGTTGAGCCAAGAAAGGATTCATTCCTCATAATAGATTAGGAGAGAACATTCTACTTCTCATATCTAGATGGATCATAAAGTCATTGGCCAATGCAAATATATATTCGTTTTGGATATCGAATATGATCGTTAAAGATCATCTAGAAAGATTGAGAGACAGAGACTGAGTTATTGGAATAGACACAATATCATGTTCTAGACTTAGTCGAATGTTCGCTGAATGAAAGGACCGTATCACTATGAACTCTATATTACAGGGAGTTTGAATCGTCCTCGCAAACGTCCTTATATGTTAAGTTTGTCTGGTAAATCGTCTAGGGATTCTACTAAGACCTTAATTTGATTAGTGCTTAATATACAAGGCCCTATGGGTCACACAACAAGTGATTATACCTCCCGATTGAATTGTTAGAAGGAATTAAATATTATTAATTGGATTAAATAATATTTAATTCGTAATACTGAAAATGGATTAAATATTAATTAGATTAGACGTATTTAATTCATAAAGGTGAAGGAGAGTTCTATTTGATAGAATTAATTAAGTAAGATAAATTAGATTTATCATACTTAAATAAGATGTATTTATTATTAAATAAAGTAGATATTTTCTTTTGTAATTTGGAATTAAAAAGAAAAAGTAAATAAAATAAATAATAATATATAATAATTAGAAAGTGGCGTGCAGCCACATCTCAATTATTATTATTATTATTTTGTTTTGTTTTATCTAATTATTTAATTAATTAGGAGTATTGGTCCTAGCAGGACTAGAACTCATTAATGAGAAAGACTTTCATTGTGATTAGGAAACTAGTTTAGAACTAGTATAAATACATACTCCTCCTTCATAATTCATAGTAGAATTTTAGATTCAGTATCACCAGTTTATTTCCCTGCGAAGAGATTTCCTAGCCTTTCTCTAAAGGGAGATCTAATCGTTCTTTCGGAGAGGAGAAATCACGTGGATACCTAAGGTCAAGGATTATCACCGCTAGGCTGGAAGATCTGTAAGTTCTAACTCAAATCTGTTATTATTATCATATTCGTTGTTTTGTCATAATCAGGAAAGATTTGTTTGGAAAAATTTTAAACTTCCGCTGCCGTACTTTCGAGGTACGTACATCAATTTCCTAACAGTGGTATCAGAGCCAAACTGATTCTAATGACATTATACGAATTTTGATAGATATATTCGTAGTTCAAAATATGTGTTTCTTTGAATTGCATTTTTATGAAGTCGTTTGATTTCCGAAATCAAACAATATTTGAACAAACGTAAAGGGGTTTGCTTTTTGAAATTAAGATCTGCTATATCTCCTTCGTGCTGTCTTTATGAACAAAATAGAAAAGGGAGAAGCTGTGTTTTTGATCGGACGATCTAATGTACTTCATGTCTGGAGGTCAAACAAAATGTTTTTCAAATTCGTCGAGAATAAGCAAGCTTCTAGTCGTTGCTGCATCTTCAATTTGTAGCATCGAAGGACGGAAAAGGATTTGCGATGGATGACTTTTTGAGCCAACTGCTTGCGGCGAGTTTCACGGCAAAAAAAAAAAAAAGTCCGACGAACTTGGAAGATCTGTCCGTGTCTAATTAGAATTCTTTTCAGTTAAGGTATCATTGGGATTAGATTAAGCCAAGTAAAGAACTTATGTGGATCTTTTAACCCGTTTTTGGAAAATTTGTTTTAACAAAAGATGGTTGATTTTAGAAATTGACTAACTAACTGAAAGGGGTTTTGACGTTTTTGTAGAAAATCTGAACTGGATTAGAACTCTACTACTTCATATTGTTAATTGTTATGGGTAGTTGGACTATCTGGCATTCTATTAATTTTTTTTTTATTTTAAAAATTAGTTATTAATTGACTCACTATTTTACTTGGAGTAAAATACGAAGTAACGAAGTACTTGATTATTTTAATAAAGTGAATGGTTTTAATCATAATTATAATTATATTATTTTAACCATGCTTATGTTATTAATGTTTGACTATTGTATTTGTTATAAATTAGATTTATATTGCATGCTTTAAATTATCTATCTGAGTTAGATCTCGTTAACATATCATTTTATAATATGTTTTAGCATCTTGATTAAATTAAATAATTTAATACCCGCTAAAACGTTCCCCTTAAATTAAAATTTAAGTCTTATCTGGGATAACGACATCACCCATCATAATTAAATTAGTAGAAATATTTTTTCGTTGAAGAATATTTCACCCAAGTGTTTATTCTATTCGACAAAATATAGAACTAATTTATAGATACATATGTTTGTGATCGTGTGATGGTTTTGACTTACTTAAATTAGCTCGAGTCGCCCAAGCGTCAGGGTTAATTTAGGGATGTCGATCAATTTGAAAATTGATCAACCAAGAATTGCTTGGATGCAATTGGTCTAGGGACCTATCCATTATATTATTGCAGTGATCAGCCCAAGCTGGGACTGTAATAGTTTGAATGTGGATCTTGGCCACTATGATTCTAGAAACATTCCATGTTCTTTTTATTGGGGTCAAAGAGCATGCAAAATAGTGGGAGCCAAATAATTAAAAGTCCATATTATTTGGTTAACTAGATGTGATCATAGGAATTAATATATGATTTTAATTCCGTTCTATTTGAACTTCTTTAGGCTTTTAGGAATGTCGAATTTATCATTGAGAAGTATCTTGGATACATGCAAGCTTACTGGACCAAACTTTCTGGACTGGGAAAGAAATGTGCGTTTAGTTCTTAGACAAGAAAATATCGAGTATGTGTTAGACACGCCGGTACCCAAGATTCCTGATGCTAACTCTCCCGAGTTTGCCACGTTTGACCTGACTGCTCGAGAGAAACACGTTACTGATGCTAAAACTGTGCAATGTGTTATGTTGGCTGCAATGTCTATGGAGTTGCAAAGGCAACACGATAGGATGAGCGCCTTCGAGATGCTTGAACACTTGAAAAGTCTGTTTGATTCAGTGAGTCAGACTCTAGAGTATGAACTTCTGACAGACATTTTCAAGTGTAGGCTTCAAGAGGGTGGCAACGTGTCTGAGCACGTCCTCAAAATGATTGGCTTAATTGAAAGAGTTGCTACCACCGGAATTAAGTTTGAGGATCGTGTCTCAGCTGCTATCATCCTATATTCGCTTCCGAGTTCATTTACTAACTTCATTGTGAATTATAATTTGAACAAAACGAAAGCAACCATGCCTGAACTCCATAACATGCTCAAGTCTTATGAAGCCTCAACCTCCAAAGGAAAGACTGTTCTTATGGTAAGCTCTAATGCCAAGTCTCGTTCTAAGAACAAGAATAAGCAAAAGAAGAAAGGTAAGGTTGGACCTACTCCTACAGCTCTTAAGCCTAAAGGTGGAGTTCATATGAAGCCAAAGGTTACAAAGGATGTTTGCCTCTACTGCAAAGAGAAGGGGCATTGGAAGAGAGATTGTGAGTTGTATAAGGCTAATCTAGCCAAAGCACCGGGTGCTTCAAGCTCAGGTATTTTTATCATTAAATAAATATGTCTATAACTAACTCTCATTGTTAAAGTATTAGATACAACTTATGGCTTACACATTTGTAAAAATGTGCAGAAGCCTGAGAAGCAGTGTAGCAGTTGGACTGGGTAAAATTGACCTACACGTGAAGGCTGGAGCAAAAGTTGCTGCTGAACGTGATATGATCTTATAGTTTAGATTTGCCCAGTGGTTTTAGATTAGAATTAAATAATTGTTATTTTATTCCTTCTATTACCAAGAAGATTATTTCCATTCATATGTTAGACATTAAAAGATTTCTATTTCCATTTTGCTAATAATAATTATTATTTTCATAAAATGGTGTTGTTGTGGAAATGCTTTTCTTATGAATGGTTAATTATCAATCGACATATTAGATATTAAATGAATAAAATAAAAGGATCTCGATTAAGTAATCAGAAAATTACTACCTATCTATGACATTGCAAACTTGGTCAAATTAATGAAACAAGAATAACAACGTTAAATGAATTAGATTATTTAACACCATTTGCTTTTGAGTCATATGGAAATTGCAATCTTGTCTTTCAAGCAACTTGACTAATAATCATTTTCTAGGAAAAAGGATAGCAAGCCAAAGAGTACTTGAGTAAAATTTCTGATTTATTTAAAAGGTCAAAGAATTCGGTCATAATGAACTCCTCCAGAACACCTTAGATGACTGGCGTTTCTGTAAGGAGAAATAGAGCTTTGTTAGACATGGCTAGATCTATGATGAATTCATTTTCTCTTCCAAACATTCTTTTGAGGGTACACGCTATAAATCTCAATACACATTCTGAATAGTTTGATTAGTGCAAAATGTACTACATGAGTTATAGCATGATAAAAGACATTTTCTTCACATATTAAATATGGGTTGCCCTGCATATGTAAAGAAATGTGCACTAATCAAATTGAAAGCTGAAGTAACATAAAGAATGAAGATTTGTTAGATGGTCTAACGAAGGATTCGGTGGGAGAATTGACTTGAAGAATGTCTCTAGGAGGATATCCTTCAGCTAGTGGGAGTAATATAGGAATCACCTCGCACCAGCAAGTGATTCTTATTAAAGATAAGATGACATGGTTGTCATTCCTTTTGCACCCACTTCTCTTTCTCTGGAAACACTTAAAAGTGTAGCACCAGAAAACTCTCTAAGCATTGGATAGTCCAATAAAAGAGAACCTCTTCACGATCAGAATGAACAGCCTGAACAAAACGCAAAACATTCAACTCTGTGGGTCTACTAGGATTCATCATGAACTAACTAGGTTAGGCTTCCTCATGGAGGATCATGATGATGTTGAAATTCCTGACAAGGATGAACCTAAGACTTACACTGAAGCAATATTAGATATTAATTCAGAGAGGTGGCGAGAGGCCATGAAATCTGAAATGGACTCGATGTATATCAATCAAGTATGGAACTTGGTTGACTTGCCTGTTGGGGTTAGACCCATTGGATGCAAATGGGTTTTCAAGAAGAAAATTGATGCCGAAGGCAAGGTGCAAACATACGAAGCTGGGCTAGTGGCTAAAGGTTATAGTCAAATGAAAATGAATTGACTATAGTGATACTTGTTCGCCAGTTGCAAAACTGAAGTCCATTCGGATTTTGCTTGTGATAGCCGCATACTATGATTATGAGATTTGACAAATGGATGTCAAAACCCATTTCCTTAATGGAAACCTCAAGGAGGAGGTGTACATGGTACAACCTGAAGTTTTTTGAATCCAAGTCAAATTCCAAATCATTATGTTAATTAGAGAAATCTAATTATGGGCTATAACAAGCCTCTAGGAGTTGAAATATTAATTGTGATGAAATAGTCAAATCGTTTGACCTCATCAAAAGAAATGAGGGTGCTTGCGTGTTTAGAGTGCGCAACAAGGAAAGCTTGGTCTTTATAATCATATATGTTGATCATAGAGAATGATATTCCCTCATTGAAGTCCGTGAAAGAATGGTCACCCAAAATCTTTATGAATATCTTTTGTCTATGGTAGACAGAAAGAACTAGTAGAATTTAATTATTCTATCACTAGTTTCATGTATGATTAGAAAGACTACGAGTCACAGTGAGTATATGTTTTTAGTCTCAATGTAATAGTAGTGCTGAAAGAGTTGCAAGTAAGAAACTACTATAAATTCGAAAACTAGAGCCTAGTAAATTGTTGCATTTGATGCAACATAGGTAAGCGTTTAGATACGTTAGTTCCTTAAAGAAATAGGGGTAGTTCCTAGCGACAGTTATCCAATAATTGTTATTGTGACTGTACCGGTGTATTTGCACAAGCTAAGGAACCAAGATGCAAAGTAAGGAACTAGAAAATACCAGTATGCTATCATGTTTTGATACAAATAGCAAGATGAGAAGTTGCAATAGAACACATTCCCGTAGAGGACAATTTGGCTGGCTCATTCACCAAACCTTTGAGATGTGAGAAACACACTAGACTTTTGAGAGTCTAGGTGTTAGACGCATCAGTGATTGGCACTAGGCCAAGTGGGAGATTGTTAGTATATATGTCCTAGCGACAATCATTTTTTAGAGATATATGTACTTGATCACATTCAGTTTTATATATTTGATATAAACGATATTACACATTGATGATTAAGTATTTCGATTGCCAATATCTTATTCATAATTGTGTTCCCTTGGATTTATGTTGTCACTAAGTAAGTGAGAGCTTATATGATATAACATAAAGTCCTAAAATAGCCTCAATCAGTGATCATCAAGAAAGGGATATTGATGATATGCGATAAGATTGGTATGTGGACTGCATCATACTTTTAGAAAGTATAGTTGATCTCACAACTATGAATTCCTGTAATTCATGATGGTCACATAGATATTTTAGAGAATATTGGCATACCCACCGAGAAACCATTTGATAAGTTCTATTCATGTGTCTATGGGATTATCGGCGTATAGAGTAGTGTAATAGTCATCCGACTTGAGGTCAATACGTACTACATGTGCGGAGTGATGTACTTTGACCATGACCAACGCTTGCACTCCAATCGGGGTAGATACAGCATGTGTTGGGTGCATCACGAAGCACATGGAGTAGTAGTTGAGCCAAGAAAGGATTCATTCCTCATAATAGATTAGGAGAGAACATTCTACTTCTCATATCTAGATGGATCATAAAGTCATTGGTCAATGCAAAGATATATTCGTTTTGGATATCGAATATGATCGTTAAAGATCATCTAGAAAGATTGAGAGACAGAGACTGAGTTATTGGAATAGACACAATATCATGTTCTAGACTTAGTCGAATGTTCGCTGAATGAAAGGACCGTATCACTATGAACTCTATATTACAGGGAGTTTGAATAGTCCTCGCAAACGTCCTTTATGTTAAGTTTGTCTGGTAAATCGTCTAGGGATTCTACTAAGACCTTAATTTGATTAGTGCTTAATATACAAGGCCCTATGGGTCACACAACAAGTGATTATACCTTCCGATTGAATTGTTAGAAGGAATTAAATATTATTAATTGGATTAAATAATATTTAATTCGTAATACTGAAAATGGATTAAATATTAATTAGATTAGATGTATTTAATTCATAAAGGTGAAGGAGAGTTCTATTTGATAGAATTAATTAAGTAAGATAAATTAGATTTATCATACTTAAATAAGATGTATTTATTATTAAATAAAGTAGATATTTTCTTTTGTAATTTGGAATTAAAAAGAAAAAGTAAATAAAATAAATAATAATATATAATAATTAGAAAGTGGCGTGCAGCCACATCTCAATTATTATTATTATTATTTTGTTTTGTTTTATCTAATTATTTAATTAATTAGGAGTATTGGTCCTAGCAGGACTAGAACTCATTAATGAGAAAGACTTTCATTGTGATTAGGAAACTAGTTTAGAACTAGTATAAATACATACTCCTCCTTCATAATTCATAGTAGAATTTTAGATTCAGTATCACCAGTTTATTTCCCTGCGAAGAGATTTCCTAGCCTTTCTCTAAAGGGAGATCTAATCGTTCTTTCGGAGAGGAGAAATCACGTGGATACCTAAGGTCAAGGATTATCACCGCTAGGCTGGAAGATCTGTAAGTTCTAACTCAAATCTGTTATTATTATCATATTCGTTGTTTTGTCATAATTAGGAAAGATTTGTTTGGAAAAATTTTAAACTTCCGCTGCCGTACTTTCGAGGTACGTACATCAATTTCCTAACAGTATTCACTTTAATAACCACGGGCAGCATGCACCAAATAGCAATTTTGGACAGTTTGGCACATAAACAACTTCGGGCAGCAATTAGGATTAATTAATTCTACCCCTAACACCCAATTAACCACCCCTACGAACAAGAATTGAAATTAACAACACTTTGCAATTCAATTTACACAACTAAACAATCTGCCACAAAGGATAGGGTTTAACAAACACACCTGGGGGGTTGGCGGCCGGGATACGATCTACCAGCGGCCCGCGGGGAGGGGGAATAAATTAAATCCGGAGGCACCCGGTGCACCTAGGGTGTTTATCGCCAATTTACCTTAGCAAAACCCTAGGAGAGGGTTTCGACCTTACCTACCCAATTAAAAAATTGGGATTTTCGGACTGTTGACTGAGTTTGACCGGCGTTGACCAATGTTGACCGGCGTTGACCGGCATTGACCGACGGTTGACTGGTTCCAGCTCCCAAGTCTCGCCAGCACAAAAATAGCAGCCCAAGTCGGCCTAAAAGGCCTGCTCCAGTTCCCTGCGTGGAGACCAGTGACAAAAGCTACCAAAGCACAGGGCCCATGCCCTTCGTCTCTGCTTTCTGCGTCCACAAAAAATCGCAGGTGGGGGCTTTTGGCTAACTTCCGCGAGACTCTCAGACGGCGGCGACCGGCTCGGATGGCGACAGCGGCGTGGCAATGGCTCTGGCGGATATTCTCTAGTCAGCGATGGCGGACACTGCAATGGATGATTTTAGAACCACCGCGTCGGACTCGATCTCCAGGCGGCGATGCAACGGCGATTCTGGTTTGTGACCTCCGGAATCGAAGATAGGCAGATTTGAGACGGACGGGAAGCAACGGCACTAAGCGAAGCTTCAACGGATGACCTGTGACCTCAAGGACCTCGAATCGGCTGACGACGGCGGACGGCGGCGGACGGTGGCGGCAGACGGCGAACCTCGCTCTGATACCACTGTTAGGATCGTATTCCGTCTCCGGCTCAGGCCTATTCCATTATACTCACATACACCACTCTAGGGGAGGCTATAGCACACCTATTCTCTTCACTCTCTTCTTCTAACCACAAAGGAACTCTC